ATAAATGGTAACTGAGTAAATGTGTAGATTTTGCCCTTGGAATTCAGATTTCTTTAAAAGACAATCAAAGATTTAAAGTGAAAAAAGATTATTTTCTGATTATGTTTGAATTATTTCATTAGAAAATTGATTATTTTATATGTAGAAGTGTAATGAATGACTATAATAGCAAAAAGCCAACAAGAAGTATATTGTTCCATGCATGAAGTATATCTTATGAAGGAAGATTGTGATATGTTGAAGACATACAGCCAACCCTGAAGTAACCACCGAAATATCAAAGTATTAGAGATGTGCACTAGTAAGTCGAAAAAGAAAAGAAATGAAAATATAAAAGTTAAGCAATTTACAGAAAAGAAGTCAGAAGGAGAAGGAAAAGAAAGAAAGAATAGACGTGACAAATGAAAACCAAATAACAAGAGCACAAATTTAAATACAACTATTTCAATGGTAACATTAAATATAAATGTTTGAAACACCCCAGTTAAAGGGAAAAGACTTTGATAATAAATATAAAAGTAAGATCAATTCTTTACTCATTAAGAGAAATTGACATTAAATATAAAGTCATAGATAGATTTAAATTAAAAAATGGAAGTTTGTCATGCTAATATTAATTTAAAAGCTAAGGTGACTATATTAACATCAGATAAAATAGATTTTAAAGGAAATACTATTAGCAAGGATAAAGTAGATACTTATTGACAAAGGCAACAATTCATATGTAGGGATACATGAATCTAAAATAACTGCACATAATAACTAGCATCAAAAGAAATTAAGTAAACCTGATATATCTGCAAAGAAAAATAGGTAATTCCACAAGTATACTCAGGGATTTAAAAAAATTAATATAATTGATAGATTAGAAAAAAATATCAGTAAAGGATATATAGAATACTTTAATACTTGCAACCAGCTTGATAGAACTGACATTTATTGCACACTCCACCTCAAACACAACACCGGCATAAAATATGTCTCATTATATATGGGATTAAATTATGCAAACCATATTTTCTACAATAAAATTAAACTAAGTAATCAGTAACAGAAAACTATCTGGGATATTTCTAAATATTTGAAAACTTAAATAACAACTCAAAGTAACATACAGCTCAAAGAAGAAATGTAAAAAGAAATTAGAAATGATATTTGAACTGAATGAAACTAAAAACACAACATATAACTATGTGTCGAATGTTACTAAGGTAGTTATGAGAAGACAGTTTGTAACAATAAGCCCTATCTTAGTAAGAAACAGAGATTTGAAATCAGTGAACTCAGGTTCTACCTTGAGAAATAATAAATAAATAAAACAGAATACAAGCAGGAAAAAAATCAAGAATCAGAGCAGAAACTGAAGAAAAATAAAACAAAAAATACACAAACTAAATCATACCAAATGTTAGGTTTTTTTCAGGAGATCAATTAAATCCATAATCCAAAAAAGGATATAAGACATTAATTAGAATGTCAAGAATGAGGGAAGTCACATCACTACAAACTCTATTTATATATATAGTATTTCAAGAGAATACTATGAAAACTTTATTTAAATAAATTTGACAACCTAGATAAATTTATTAAAATACACAAAGCATCAAAGCTCATTCAAGAAGAAATGGGAATTTCTCAGTAATGCTGACTACATCCTACTTCTTACAAAAAGAGCAAAACAAAGCTTCCAGTAAGATAATGTGAAGCCTAGAAGTCTTCACTGAACAATTTTTTTCCAAATATGTGAGGGAGAGACAGTAATAAATCTACACAGAATTTCCGTGAATATTGGAGGTAAAAGAACACATTCCAGTTTATTCTATAAAGTTTGCATTACTTTTATACCAATATCAGAGAAAGATATTAAAATGAAACTACAGACCAATACTCCAAATTAACATGAATGTGTAAATAAAAATACTTTAAAAAATTTACCAAATTGAATCCATAACTAAGTTTTGTTTCTCCCAGAAATAAAAGATTGGACTGACTATTCAAATTGTCTCATGCATTTCACCATGTTGACAAACTTAAAAAAAAAAAATTGATGAAAACGCATCTGGTAAAATTCAATATTCATTCCTGATAAAAATTTCATGTAACTGGAGGTAGATCAATGTGATAAAGGTACATTTACAAACAACCTATATCTAGCATCGTATCTGATGAGAGAAATACTAAAGGCATTCCCCTGAGATCAGGTACAACACAAGAATGTCCATGTTCATCACTTCTCTTCAATATTGTCTTGGAGGTTCCATTCAGTAAAATGGGGAAAATTAAATAAATAAAAATGTGTAGATTTTAAATAAAAAAGTAAAAATGTTGTTATTCACAGAACACAAGATCATCTATGTAGAAAACACAGTGGGTCCTACAAGAAGGCTATTAGACATAGCAAGTTTAGCAAGATTGCACAATACAACATTAACATATACATATACATTATTTTCTATATAAAACAATTACAAAGTGAGAACTTAAAATGTCATCAAAAGCTGAAATACTTAAGGATAAATTAAAGATGTGCAAAGACTTGTATACCTAAAGCAGGAAAACATTGCTAAGAGATATTTTCAGGGATCAAAACATTCAGTATCATTTACATGTCAATTCCCCCTAAATTTGTCAAAAAAATTATCTACAAATTCAATGCAATTCCAGTGAAAATCCCAGCAGGCTTTTTTTTTTTTTAATACACTGATCAGCTTATTCTAAAATATATATAAACGTGTGTGTATATAAGGATCTTTAATTATTTTTTCTGTTTTAAACATAAAAAACACCTTTATTGGTCTCAGCACAGGAAAATCCAAGGGCTTTTAGGGGCTTTACCAGAAATAAAGATCGAACGTATATTTCGCACTAAAAATCACAATACTGCATATGCATTGATGATTTTTGCCTTAGTCATTACTATGACGACTGAGAAGTGATATTAATAAGCTTATTTTCATTGCCCTTAAGATCTGCTGAAGTCTGGAGCCAGGCTCAGACAGTAGGGTTGTGTGGTGCTTTTCATCTGTTTCTGCTTCAAGTCCTGCTTCCCATCTCCAAAAGGCTCTGCCTCTGCAGAAGCCAGAAGGTATGTTCAGCAGGGTATGTTCCCAGGAAGACTAAGAGATTTGGAACCCAGGCTGATGACTTAAAACACACTGAATCTGACTCTATTTGCCCTGCTCTGGCTCCAGAGAATAAGATAGTTTTCTCTAGTGAGATCGGTGCCATTCTGCGTGCTTTCTATACCTTGAACACTCTCATCTCAAGAGATCTTTTCCTCGGTTTTGTCTTTGTTTTAGGGCCTCATTACGTTTTTTCCTTTGGATGTGGCATCTAAATCTCTTATTTTGAAACCAGTATTTACCTCCTGTCTCTGAGACCCCAATTTTTGTTGCAAGTTTCTCTATGGAATCACTCTCAGGATAATGGTTGCACATAAATGCCTTGTTAAGGGTGTATAATCGGAAGGGAGTGTACTTGATGCAAGGCGCTGTGCCTTGTCTGCATTGAATCTTCTCCTCAGGGTGAGCTGGGTTTTCGTTTGATTCTAACTGTTCCTCAAGTTCGAATCTTTTCTGGAATCCATGCCTAGCTCTTTGATTCTGAAACCATATCTGGATTGTATACTCTTTGATGTTGGTTTCTCAAGCAAGTCTTGTTTGGTAGCATAACTTACGGAAGGGTTTTGGTTGAATGCATCAATGTGGATTTTCAGTTGATCTTCTGTGAATCTGTAGTGTGTCTGAACCTACGCTTTGTTGCTATGGACTTGTTTGAAGAGTTGTCTTGGGGCGTGTTGGAAGAGAACCATAAAGTCTAAGGATTCAAATAGGAGCCCAAGTCAACTTAAAAAAAAAAAATTATATAACTATACCTGGTGACTTCACATCTTATTATAAAGCTGTAAGTCAAGACAGTTTGGTGGTTGCATCAAGATATATCAGTATAGAGGAATATAAAGTTCAGAAGTTGATTTACACACCCATTTTTGTCAATTAATATTTGACAAGGTGTAAAGGTAATTCAATATAGAAAGCAACCCAAGGGTTTTTTATTTTTTAATCTTTTACTGAATGGAGCTAGAAAAATTGTAACTTTATACAGAAAAAATAAACTTAAGTTTCAATTCACACCTTGAGTCAAATACAAAATGTAAATCAAAATAGATTGCTGGAATAAATTAAAAAGTAAACTATAAATGTTCTGTAAGAAAAAATAAGAAATCTTTATGACCTCAGGTAGCTTACACAGGTATATATTACGTACCAGATAACCTAGCTGTCTATAGATTATCTAGTGTTAGACTTCTTACATAAAATGTTACCATGGGATGTTTTATGGGGTCCATATAGAAATTACATTGAATAAATTTAACTTTATTAACTTTTTTGCTTAAGACAATGTTAAGAGAATAAAAAGAATGGCAGACTAAGAGAAAATACTTGTAAATCATATATGTGATAAAACACTTGTATCCAGACTATTCCATAAAACTCTCAAAACTCAACATAAATCAGATAAATGGACAAATAAAATTGGCAAGAGACTTGAGTACATACTTCACCAAAGAGGATATATGGATAGTAATTAAACATGTGAGAAAATGTTGAGCCTCATTAGCATTAGGGAAATGCAAGTACAAGCCACAGTTAAATACCATTTCATCTCTACTGGAATGGCTACAGGAAAAAGTAATGACACTACCAGGTGAACAGGAGGCTGTGGAGCAACTGAGTTTCTCACTTATTCCTGGTGTGAATGTAAACTTGTACATCCACACTGAAATTAGTTTGGTATTTTCTTATGTGGTATACATGTACACCTTGCAATCATTCTCCTGAGTATCTTCCCTAGAAAATTAAAAAATATGATCAAAGGAAATAACATTCTATGAGAAATGTTCATAGCAGCTTCATTTTAATAGCCAAAGAGATAAAAAAAAAAGAAATGAAAATAGTGGTACACACATATTACAGACTATTACTCAACAACAAAAAAAGAAATTGATACATACAACAAATTGGATGGATCTCAACAGCATTATGCTAGGTGAAAAAGGCAATCTCAATAGATTACATACTATATTATTCCATGTATATAACATTCTTAAAATGACAAAATTTTACTGGTGAACAGATGAGTGTTAAGTGTTAGGGCTGAGGAGGGAGTTGGACTATAATGAGATACTATAATCAAGTTTCTCTGTAGTGACAGAACAATAAATGAATCCTGATTGTGCATACAACAATTTCATAGCACCATACACTGAATTTTTTAAAAGAATAAATTTAAAAATGGACGAAATCTGAATAATGTATGGATAGTATTGTACCAAGATCAGTTTCCTTATTGCATTAAATGTATTACAGTTACGTAAGTTGTTGTAATTGGGGAAGGTTGCTTAAGGCATACACGAGAACGCTGTACGATTTTTCAGCTTCTTGTATTTCTAAAATTATGTCAAAATATTAACTGGACTGGAAACCTATAGTTAACATTTCTCTCACTGTAGTACTCCACTTATAATATAGCATGGCTGTTATTTTAAACCAGAAACTCTCTTGTTGGTTTTTTATTTTTGAATGTTTTGGAAGTTACCCTTCCAAATACCTAAGGCAAAACACACAATGACACACATATACCACACACACACTTTTCTATTCCACAAAATCCTTGTTTTAACATACTATAGTATTTACTTTTCTTTTACACAGGTTGTTTTAGATTTCTCTGAGTTATTACTACAAACCCATTTTCACATTTTCATCATTCATGGTTAAATTTGAGCATTTCTGACATTTCTACTCTTTTAAAGTCGTACTGATTTAAACTCTGAGACACATAACCACAGGATTATATGACATCTCAGGAGTCTAAGACTTAATCATTCTTTATTTGTATTGACTCACAAGAGTTCAGTACATCCCCTTGCTGGAAGTCTGGGCCTATGTCTTTGGCAGTAATTGATTCCAGAGTCAAATACCAGATTTATATTGATTATTACCATGAAACCACTCATGATCTGTGTGTCTCCTATAACATGTTGGTTAATTTTGTACGGCATATCATGCTAACCCAGAAAAATGAGAAATGACAGCCTATCTGGTTCAAAGTGATTGTTTTGCCTCCCAATAAAGTGAAAAATTACCACTGTCACCACTGTGGTGAATGACATAGTATGGCAGAACTAAGGAGTTTGGACTAAACCAGGCGGTAGGTCGAGATTAGACATGGCTGTGAGAATTGTGTCTCATAATTAATGTATGACTCATTCAACTGTAGTTAAAAATTGGCAAGTGTTTGTTTATTATTAATTTCAAATAAATCACACCTTATTGATACAGTCAAGAAACACTGAAAAAAAGTATCAGATCTTCCACAGGTAGCTGAAATGCTGATTATCAAACTAAGTATTTGTATTTATGTTCAATAAGGATACTGTGCTAATCTTTAAGTGTAGGATGACTGTTTTTAGTAAAGATTAATAACATTAGTCATAAAATAAACCAATGACTATCATCTAAACAACTGTATCTTCTAGTTTAGACAAGATTGTAGTGCAAACTAAAAGCTTTAAATAAAGGCTTGGAATTTTAACCACTGAGAAATGCTAAAATAACTGAGCTCAGATATGATCTCTTCTGTCTAGAGCTCCCTTATGTCCTCAAACAGAAATAAGACTCCTTAGTCCATGTCACTCGTATGTTAAATTATTTTGAAACTGTCTCTTTATCTCTTAAGACTTATTTGAGATCTCCTTAAGAAAAAAAAGGATTTACAGTTACTTTGCTAAATGCTCATATTTTTTTCTAAAATAAACATACATCCTGAAACTGCCAGTGGGGGACAAAATTAAAGAATGATAAAGGTACTTGAAAATGTAATATTAAAATAATTATCCTATGAGTCACCGAGGACAGCTAAAGAGGTATACTGAGGGTATTTTCCAATTAGTATGTGTAGTCAGGGTAGTCAAACTGATTGTGTAAGTTGATACAACACATGGATTTTCGAAATGGTTATGTGCAGAAACAAGGGAAATTAGTCAAAATACAGAAAAAACATATTGTTGAAATATAAAATTGTGAATACCAATATTCTTAAGTATAAAAAGCTTCAAGAGACTGTCTTCTGTTTTAGTAACAGAACAACCTAGTCTATAAAATCACTGGTCTTGAGCCCAAGAGACATATGAAGTTGCAAAGTAACCATGCTAACTGAATTGCAAAGGTTGACGAACATCTCTGTGGAGACTGGGAATACAAGCCGACTCACCTTTGTCAGGACATGAGTAGAGGAGTTCATCATGAAGGTTAAAAGAAGAATCAGATGAATTTTCTTAAATCTTAGAATGAACTAGTTTGACATTTTAAAGTCAGTAGGAACATTGATCACAAAGTTAGTCTGCACTTTATTATTCTTCCCCCATGGTCTCTAAGATATATTCATGGGAAACAATGCGTGTAGGACTGGAGACTTGATACACACCTGCCCCCTCCACGGGGCAAGTATGTAGGGCCTGTCAAGATTCGAAGGGGAACAGGAGAATCTGAAGATCACTAGAAGCACTCAGAGACCCTAAGTGGGTTTAAGGTACTGATAAGAACCAGGAGCAAAGTCACCGGTGCGCTGACCTTTCTCTGCTACAAAGCAAAGATTCTCATGGTAACAATTCAAGAAAGATTCCTTTATGGCTCTGACACAGGAAGAGGAATAACAGTATTCGTGAAATACCTCCAAAAAGCTTCTCCATAGCAAACGCCTTCTCTCTAGAGCCCTCCTCTGCCTGGGGAAAGGCACTTCTCCCGTTCTAGCTCAGTGTGGCCCTGCGGGTGGAAAGCTAAGGAACACTTACGAAGGTCACAGCCAAGGACACACAGACCCATTGAAATGATAAAATTTAATCAAAATATTTTTAAAATGCTTCCCTGCCTTCACACCCTACCACCAAACCAAGACTCCAGTGGAGTAACAGTGAATTCCAGATGAAAGAGCTATGAAACACAGACCCACTTGGAGGATATGCACTTAGGGCAGTCCAAAGTTATCAGGGGGAGACAAAAACAAAGAAACTAGATGAATCTGAAGCCTCTGGCACTCATAGTTAACATCACAAAGCAGCCCAACTGCTGACCAGATTTACATGAAGACCTATTTACCCTGGTTCTTGTCACTCAGTAATCAGGTCCCGCTTTCAACGAGAAAAATTATAAGGCTTCATAAAAGTCATGGTGAGGTAAAACAAATAAGAGAATCAGACTCAAATATGACTCAGATGTAAGAATTATCATAAAATTAATTTAAAATATGTCATTAATATTTTAAAATAAAAAGTTTACACTGTATAAGAATATATAGTCTAAAAAGTTTTATAAGCTCTTAAAAAATCTGAAACACTATAATCATTAAAAAAATGGTAACAAAAATGAAAAATGCATTTGATGGTTTCATAAACAGGTATGTCTGAGGAAGGAATCAGTGAGCTTGAAGACAGGTTAACAGAAACTTCCCAAACAGAAATACTAAAAGGAGAAATACAGGAAAAACAGCAACAGAACAGAACAGTCAAACACTGAGGGACAATTCCAAAAGCTTAACGTAGACGTAACGCTCCACAAAAGAGAGGACAGCGCAGAAGAAACACTAGAACTGTAATTGTTAACAGTGTTCAAGGTTAGCAGACGTGCAATCCTGTCCGGAACATCCACAATGTTGGGGGAGAATAGAGTCTTGCCTCCTGCAGGAAAGAATTCAAGAGCAAGAAGGCATGGTAAACTGAAAGTTTATTTAGAGCGATACACACTCCATGGACAGAGTGCAGTCTGTCTCTTTCGGACGGGAAAATGGCTTAGGAGATACACACTCCATAGGCAGAATGTGGGCCATCTCAGAAAGGGGAGAGGGAGAGAAGCCGAGAGATGGGGGGTGTTTAAAGTAAAAGCAGACACACACACTCCATACACAGAGTGCAGGCCACCTCAGAAGGTGAGCATGACAGAGCCAGAGTGAGAGCGACCAGGAGGTGCAGAGTTGTTAGGTCTCATGGGCTTGGAAGTTTCACATGCTAATGGTATGAGGATTATTCCAATTACTTTGAGGAAGGAAGGGGTGAAGATTTCCAGGAAATGCTCCCCCCCCACCTACTTTTTGACCTTTATGGTCAGCCTAGGAACTGTCATGGCACCTGTGGGTGCATGATGAGGCTCAAGGTCTACTGGAAATCATATCTTCCACCATCTTGATTCTAACCAGTGTGTCCTGTCCTCAACTGCTGTGTCATTCCTTCAATGGTTGTGCCCTGCACCCTTTCCTCCCACTTCATTCCCCTCTCCGAGATTTTACTCCCATAATCTTATGGAGGTGCAGAGGGGCGGCGATCAGTCTTCTGTAGCTACTTCAGGGCTGAGTAGGGGTGTGCCTGATCTAGGGGTCCCAGGGGCAGGACAGCCTGTTTTGAGTTAGACGGCAGAATCCTCACATAGCCGTCATCTTGATGTGGTAACTGTTGTAACCGCTTCCATAGCCTTCTTATGAATCTTCTTGAAGATGAAGCACTTTGGCACTAGCACCAGAGAAATGTCTATAAATGAAAAAAGACTTTAAAAAGGCATGGTTAAATACTGAATTACAATGTAATCAATGAAGAAACTTGGTCACATCCACCAGAATTATGACTGATTACATTTAACTTAACATACAAAATAATCCTAGTTCATTTAATATTTCTCTGAGACGCTCAGGGTTCCTCCTCCACAAACCTTCCACAACTTTCTGTATCCATATTATTTTGTCCCTTCTTTTCTTTCCCATTCAGAAACAAACAGCTTTAGGACAAAATCTGCTTTCTTCTCCCTTAACAGAATGCAATTCCATTCCTTATACCTTCTTTTACTGAAAACATACATCTTACTTTCTGGCATCTTGAAATGTTTCCCTTATTCATTTAGTAGCTTTAATTTTACTTTCCTTCCTAAGTACAACTGAAGCATTATACTTAACACCGATGACTCTAAAGATAAGGTATGTCTATATTAATCATACCAACAAACTTAAGCTAGCTCTGTGCCAGATATGGATTCAGTACTGAGTATTTTCCAGACCATGTGAACCTGAAATTCACTCTGGCCAGTTATGTTTATATATCTAAGTATTTACATAAGCACTTAATTTCCTTTAGTCAATTAAATACTGCTCTTTTACGAATTAGTTTTGGCAATGCCACACATCTATAACACATATACAGATACGTACAAACACACAAACACAGAGGCTCATCAGTTCCCATCCCAAAATTTTAGCCTTGAAACACGTACAATGTGAGATTCATCAGTTTCAAGAAGTTGGACTCAAATCAGATTTCTGGCAGAAGGAAACAAAGTCACGTGTCTAGATGACTAAGACACAACGTTTCTAGTCGTCCTTAACAAGTCAAGTTCCAAATTACTTACCCCCTTTCTCAAATTGGCATTTTAAAAAGTTGGTGAAATGGGGTTTTACCTGAAGACCAGGCAAAACATGCATCTCAAAGGCTTGAGGAGAAAAGCAAGTCACTCCTAGGATGGCTTTGTCCCCTTAATGTCAGAAAAGGTTTTTCAATACTTACAAGTTTCTTAAGATAAGTAGGGGTGGTTTGGGGAGTGGCAAGAGGTTTGGTGGACTTTGGATTATTTCTGGAGCCACACCTCTGGTCCTGTAAAGACTAGATTTGAAACATTTTTGAGCATCCTTCCTGGGTTTAGAAATTCTCTAATTATAAATCTCAGTTCAGACTTCGTGTGAAGAGGCTTGCCTGCAGCCTCAGGCGGTCTCATTTCTAAAGGTAGCCTGACAACATAGCCAGGGACCTCAGTGTCCCAGACTGTGGGGTTCACTTTAGAAACAATATGGGGAGGAATGGAGACATCCTCTGGCTTGGGACTGAGGCAGGGTCCCACGGCCAAGAGCAGTCATTTTCTTGGTGGGTGCCTTCCCCATTAAGGGTGTCTGAATTGGACTATTGCCTGGAATTCAGCGAGCAAGTGCCTTCCCAACAAGGAGATGGGGCACTCAACCACCTGCAGAAACTGATGTGTAAAAGTAAATTTCTTAGTAAGCACTTAGTTTGGGGCCTTCTATTGATCCCCATTATTGTACAGAATTGGGAGGACAAGGGTCCAGGGAAATCAGTCAGCACAGAGGAGGCAGCCCCCATATCTAATAAAAAGACAACTTTTCTCCCTGCTACATTAAGGGTTACCAGAGGCTCCTCCGGAGGAATGACCAGGTGTCCTGTGGGAGCCAGGGGGGATCCCAGGCTGTCAGTCTTGGGTCCTTTTGGCCATTGTGGGATTGGGAGCCCCAAGCCCCCTTCGGGAGTGGGGATGGTCCCACTTCCAGGGGCCTTCTCATCTGCATATTGGCCAGGATCCTGGTGGACTTTCCCCATACATGGGGCATAAGACAGGTTCCTTCTCAGTGAGACCAACGGCTCTGATTCAGACATCCTGTCCTCACCATGGGTCTTCACAAGCGAGGGTTACCCTGTGGTGGTGCTGGGGTTAGGGCTGCCATCAAAAACTGTGACTTTCACTGTTGTCCCTGAATCCTTTCTGCCTCTTCAACCCTAACTGTTGTTAAATACTCCAAAGGCCAAATCCATGAGCTGATTCTTGGGGGTCTGGAGTCCCCAGCTGCCCAGATGGGGTGTTAATGCTAGATGGCCCAGAGGGCTGTACCCCTCAGAGTTGAGGGAGTAGGAGTTCCTCGTTGTGGACCTTGGGGAGGTGGACCCACAAGGGCTCATCTAAAACACGGAGCTTCTGTTGGGGAAGAAAGCTCTCTGAAGGCGTGTGAGCCAGGCACAACTGACGCTTCTTTAGATCTGGATCTTGGAATTAGGTCATGAACTTCTGGATGTGTGGGACCTCCGCTCATTTACCTTCTCTTTTACAAAGTAGTTCTAACCGCAAGATTCAATGACCCAAAGGGAGAAAAAGTGACCAGAGCCCAGGGCCTAATTTTACAGAGGCTGAGGAGACCTAGGCCCTGAGTTGATTAATTCAGATTACCTTTATCTCTGAAAGAAAAAACAAAGAAACAAATAGAGCTGAAGGGTGGGGCTGGAGTGCCACAAGGCAGTAATACAAGGCAAAAATCGCCCCTCAAGATATGGTCTTTGTGTTGGGGAGGGGTAACTCTTCACAGAAGTAAAAAAGGTAGCACTCAACCTGCTGGCAAAGCAGGCGAGGAGGCTCAAGTATCTAAGAAGTCAGGACAGGAGGACATAAGAGAAACCCAGGGAGAAGAGGGAAGGTGTGCAGCCACGGTGCCTCCCAGAGTAGAGAGGAGTTGGCAGGAAGTTGTACGGCCCCCAGCTTCCTGGAGGGGCAAAGTTCTGGCCGCACCTCTGGTATGCAAAGGTGAAGAGGCTTACAGAGTCGGGGAGGGATAAAGGTGGTGAGAGTACTGGGGCTAGGGCCTTCTGTCTGGAGCTTGTGTTCCTCCAGAGATGACATTAGAGGGGGCTTTTGTGTAGCCTGAATGGGTCCCAGTCAGCAAGGTTCCCTAACATAGGATGTGCATAGTTCTGGGTTCTCTCTTAGTGTAGTAGAGAGTAACCTTCGTTTTCTTGGAGGTTTATGGGGACACCATGACCTAGCCCACAGGGATGGCTGCAAGAACAAAGAATGCCTGCAGCAAGAAAACTGCAACAATCAACCACACCCCCTCCCTTATTTCTTGTATAAAAGGAGCCTGTATTCTGACTAGAGCAGGATGGTTCTCCAAGACACTACTCTGCCATCCTCTCAGTGTGCAGGCTTTCTGAATAAAGTTGCTATTCCTTGCCCCGACACCTAGTCTCCCGATTTACTGGCCTGTCGTCTGGCAAGCAGAACAAGTTTGGACTTGGCAACATTAGAGCCACAAAGGCCTGCACATAAGGTCTAGCTGTAGGTTGGCGTCACAGTGGAGGCTTCCATTTTCCAGCCAGGTCTCATCGTCCTCAATTTTATGCTAGGGCCAGGTGTATTACAAAAGATAAGCTTTTTCTTTTTAACGACTCTAGAAAGACTTGTCCCAGTGACTCAGAATGCACCTGAGCAGTGAG